AGGGATGACTGAAACTAGGGATAAGGGAGGAGTAGCACTGTAGAGGAAAAGAGGTTGGTGAAGAAGAGAAAGGAAAATGGTAGTAGGCTGGGGTGAAGTGGTAAAGCTTGAGCTCTAGACAGAGGAGCCAGATTTGAACCTTGAGTCCTCTTCTCACTAATTCTATGACTTAGGACAGGTGATATAACCTCCTTGAGTCTCAGTTTCTCCATCTGTGAAATGGGGTAGTAATCATTGCAACAATTAGGATGGATCTGGAAGTTGTGTAGGATGGTTCACCTAGCACACCTAGAGGAAGTGCTCCATAAATCAAGGCTGTCCAAAGAACAAAGTCAAAAGAAAAAATGTAATGGCTATCATTGCTAGTATAGTCTTTCTCTGAGATTAATATTATAAGCAATCTCCTTATTGGCAACAAGAAAACTGAGTTAAATCTAGTAAGTTGGTGATGGGAGATGAGCTGGGTGTCACATAAGGCCAGTTAGTTATTGTCAGCTACTGTGCAGTTGTTGAGGTGTTGTGTTTGTACCCTGTATCTGTGGGTGATGTGTGAAGCGGGGAGGTGTGTGGGAGCTGGAGATGTGGCCTGGGAAGCCTGCAGAAGTGCTTTTCAGAGCCCGTGGGCTGAAAGGCCAGTGTGTTGGTGAGTGTTAGATCCCTGGATGGACAAGATGCCCTGGTTGATCTCTGGAAGCTGTGAACACCTTTTTACCCCCGTGACAGGTTCCCATGAAGGTACCTAAGGAAGAAAGCTCAGAAGGTGGGCTGGGCCAGATTGTGAGGAGGATGACATTAGACGCTGTGCTGCACATAGAGGAAGCCAGGGCAGGGTTCCGAGCAGGAGGACTGAATCCCATTGTGCATGAAGAGTGTCCCAAGGAGAGGATCAGATGGCAGGCGGGAGGGGGAGTCTGGTCCACTGAGTGCCAGGTTGGTGTCCCTGGATGCTGACAGTCTAGCAGACCTGAGGGGGAGTTGAACCATTTGGTGCTTGATGGCTCTGTGCAGCTCCTGGATTGGGGAGTGAATATTTCCACCCTACCCAAAGTCCTCAAAGCAGGGCAGGGGTTAGCTAGATTCTTAGGCTTCAGGGGAACTATAGGGTTACCGCATTGTGGGAAAAGCTACTTTGACCCAGGAGATACTGTGTGTGGTGTGGGGAGGAAGGTGGATTGACTAAGGCCTCTTTCCTCTGCAGGACGCATCCTTTATGTGCCAAGCCTTCTTGCCTAGTAAGGGCTGTGGAGTTGGATTTTGCTCTGGCATCATCCCTGATAACTGAGGGTGTTAGCCAGGCAGGCAGCAGCTCTGACTGTCTCTGGGAAGGCCCAGAAGACAGGCTACATTTGGGCACTGAGGCAAAGTAACCTGTCACCCAGCTAATGGGATAGGAGATGTCCCTGACCCTGAGACAGCCCTGTGTTGCATGTGCTCTGGAGGCAGATCGGAGCTCAGCTCATTCACACCGAACTTTTGGCCTGGAGAGGTGGCCTTGGGGTCTGATCTGTGCACTGGGCAACATGCTATGTTCAGTGGCTCATGTAGCTGAGGGAATTAGATGAGTGCTGTGTCTAGGGGGCTTCTTAACGCAGTGCCTGGGCAGAGGAGAGTACAGCACTTTACACATTTCTGGCCATCCTTCCACTGGCCACTCTGTTCTTTTGGGTATTAAGTGGTGAGGCCACCACTGGCCTCCAGGTGTCCCTCATTTTTAGCCACATCCATTTGGCAAGCATTTGCTGATTGCCTCTTGAGGGCAGAGCTGAGACTCAGTGTGTCCAGAGCCTTCTCCCTACCTGAGAGGTGGGGGCCCAGTAGGGCTTCCAGGACAGGTGCCTGAAGGCAGGTTACAGCCAGGCAGAAGGAGGCAGGGTTTCCTGAGCCCACCAGAAGCCTTGCCTAGGAAGCCCAGAGGGATTTCCTGCCTCCCCGGGGCAGGAGGGGACAGACCCTGCTTCCAGTACAGGCCACCCTTGCTGCTTCCCTGGAGACTGATCTGGTCACAGAAGTGTGGCTTAAATGGGGGAAGCTGGGTAAGATGGATTATTGTTCCTTATCCTGGGAAGGGCCACCCGATAGCCCCTGCTGACCCTGGGTCACCCACGCTGCCTCTGTCCAGTGGGCCAGGAAGAAAATCATTAAGGGGAGGCTGGCTTCTGGGGTAAGGCGGCTCCCCTCTGGGAGCTGGGGTGAGGAGATTGGTTTGACCTCTGGTCGATAAGGTCTCCTGTGAGCAGGAGGAGAGTTGGAGGACAGAGGGGGTTGCTGGATACACACTCTTGGGGGAAGGGCCAGGCCACCTCCTGAAGTCATTCCGGGAAGGTTACAGGCCACAGGTTGGGGCCTTTGGGACAGATGCCCTCCAGGTGTGAGCCTCAGGCACTGGAATTCTTCCTTTCCTGAGCATCAGGGTGGGAAGGGTATGGTTTTGAGGATCAGATTTAGGCTGTAAAACCTGGGTGGGCCATTGCAGGCTGGTAGAAATGAAGAGAAGATCTACTTCATGAGCCAGCAGCCAAGCCCTGCCCTATTGGGTAGGTTGGCTCCGGGCAATGGACGCAACTTGAGCCTCAGTTTCTGTATCTGTTAAATGGAGTGAGAGGTGTTCCCATAATACTAGGTTGTCAGGACTCGCAAAAGCAGTAGCATCTTTCCATACTGTAATCTGGTTTCCTGGCCTTCATTTGGAGCCCCTAGAAGGGTTCCCTTATATATTCTGTGGTTACCCTGAACAAGGGTTTACTTTATCCCAGGCCTATCTCCAAGCCTCTACTGTGCTGCTTTTTTTTTTTTTTTTTGAAACTTTGATACAGGATCTTTGCTGAGTTGTGCAGGCTAGGTTTAAACTTGTGATCCTTCAGCCTCAGTCTCCCAGAGTGAGTGCTGGGTGCCACTATGCCTGTGTTGCTTTTTATATTTAATCATGGTACCCCATAGGGTGGATGCCATCATTACACTCATTTCATAGGTGAGGAAACTGAGGCTCAGAGAGGCTGGGAACTTGCTTTAGGTCCCTTAGCTAGAGGGTTCTATGCCCTGGGCTTTGCATCTGAGGTGAGCTTCTGCTGGCGCTAGGGGAACAGCACGTAGGGCTATGGCCATGGTTGTCCTGAGGGATGTTGTGCAGGAAGCTCCCCAAAGCCTGGGTTAACTCTGCACTGCTTGCCCTGTGACTGAGTCTGTTCCACCATGCAGCCTCACTGTCCTCCTCTGTAATGTGGGATGATGATCCCAGCTGGAGGACAATTGTGAAGTTTCAGTAATGTGGTCTTGCAGAGACATCTATGGGGTTCAGGCTGGGGTGGGAGACCAGCTGGACAGCATGGAGACAGAGACCCTGGGCTGTGTGTGGACCACAGCAATGAGGAAAACATGGTCCTTGCCCTTGGGAGCCCACAGCTGAGGGGTGAGACAGACGCTTGTCCCAAGAACTCCATCATGGGTATGGTGGGAACATGCTATTGTGGGAATAGGGTCCCACGTGCCTAGCATTGTAACAGGCTTTGTGGCTGCACAGAACAAACGGAGGATACTGTCTGGACTTTGTGACCTGTTTGGTTTTGTGGTTAAGATGAAAATGCACGCAATCAATGCTAAAATGGCACCGTTGGGCTCCAAGTCTTGTCAACATTGATCTGTTTAATCTTTCATTCATTCACTCACTCATTCAAAGTGTTTCAGTTATTAGGTCCTGGGGAAATAGCAGCACACAAGAGACAGCTGCACCTCTGGTAGTGCCACCAGCCTAGTGGGGACAGACAGAAACCAGGCTGGCAGATGGTTGCCAAGTTGGCGAATGCTGGAAAGAAACACAAAATGTGGTCAAATATGGCAAGTAACAGAGATGGGAGTTGCTTCTGAAGGGTGCCTGTCCCAGTGATGTGTTGAGCAGATACTGGAGTACAGGCAGAGTGCAGAGATCTGGGAATGAGCATCAGAGCAGAGGGAAAAGCAAGTAAAAAGGCCCTGAGGCAGAATCCTGCTTGGTGTTTGGAAGGCTCCTGGGTTTAGGTAGCCAGTGTGGATGGAGCAGTAAGAGGAGGTAGGAAAGCAGTTGGGGGCTCACTTGTGGGGCCTCTGTGGTGAGGTCTTCCACTTGAGTGCAGCAGGAAGTCTGGGGAGACTGAACAGGGAGGATTTTATCAGAGAACTGGGTTTGGTGGAGCATGGACTGACTGGTAGAGGGCAAGAATGGAATAGATCAGCAGGCCAGTGAGGAGGCGGGTACAAACTGTCCAGATGAGAGGCCATGTCTGGGGAAGGAGGTCCAGAGCTTTGTGCTGGCTTCGCCAGACAAGGCTTCCAGGAGTGTGTGGACAGGTTCGCCCTCACCTGGGAGCAGTACTGGGAGTCTCCACAGGGGGTGCAAAATGGAGGCTTCTCAGAGCAGTGCCTGAGGTGTGGGTTCATGCGAGTGAGCACAAGGATCCCTGGGGGCAGGGAGGACCCCTGCCCTGGCAGCGATGGTGGGGGTCATAGTGCACTCTGGCCCTTTGGTCCAATATGGAAGACTTGCCAGGCTGCCCTCCTTCCCTGCCCAAAACCCACACAGCAGTTCCTCTTCCTCTCTTCCTGCCCCTTTTCCTCCCTCCAGGGCTATCTGGATGTCAGTCCTTTTCTTCTCATTCACTCACCTCAGCCTCACAGCATCCTGGCGTGACACAGGATGGAGAATTGATCTACAGTTCTATTACGAAGGGGTCTGAGACAGAGTAAATGGTGTGCCTGAGGTCACATGAGAAACCGGCTTCATCCTCTTGCTTACCTGTGGGGCTGTGGTGGAAAAATTAAATAGACATAAGCTCGATTCTGAGCTTTCCTTCTTCCTGGCGGGGCCACTTGGGCAACGTGCCTGAGCCTCAGTTGCCTCATCTGTGAAATGGGGGTAGTAATGGAGTGGCTATGGCATCTCCTGAGACCTGGCCTGAACTGGCATGGAGAAACTCCTCGCTCTCTGTTGTGAGTGTGGCCGGCTTACAGTTTCTCCTTTCCCTGTATAGGTGCTGGCGGCTGAGGAGAACGTGGACTTTCGCATCCACGTAGAGAATCAGACCCGGGCTCGGGACGATGTGAGCCGTAAACAGCTGCGGTTGTACCAGCTCTACAGCCGGACCAGTGGGAAACACATCCAGGTCCTGGGCCGCAGGATCAGTGCCCGCGGCGAGGACGGGGACAAGTATGGTATGTGCTAGCCCCTCCCCTCACCCCATGCACCTCAAGTTCAAATCCCAGCTGTGCAGTGTGCTTGCTGTGTTATCTTTGACCTAGCACTGTGGCCCCTTTCTGGGCCACCATTTCTTGAACTGGTAAAATGGGGACACAGCAGTGAATCCTTTAGAGAGTGTTGCGAGGAACAATAAAAGCTGATTTGGTTGGCGGAAGTCCCATGAAGTGGCAGTTGTCGTATTGGTGGCTTGCCTACGGATGTGCTAAAGTAGGCGGCTGCTTTTTAGCCACTGTTTCATCAGGTCCAGTTCCACACATTTAGGGTAGGAGCCTCTGGGTCATACCTGGCATTGGTGGTTGTGCCAGAAATCAGCCCAGTGTGCATGGGTGTGAGTGTGGTGAGTTCACCTGTGCGTGTGTGTTTCCAGCTTGAGCTCATGCACCTGAGATGTGGCTCTCACAACCCCTTGGGCTGTCCTTGACTCTGGAACTGCCCGAACTTCCTGCGGGGCATTTAGGTGCCCTCATGGCCTTCCCAGTGCTGCTAGTGCAAGGGGACCAGGATAAGGAGAACACTCAGATTCCTGCTCTCCCCAAGCACCAGCTGAAGACCCTCTGCAGTGAGCAAAACAGACAGGACTCCACCTTCCCACAGCTTGGCGGGAATCTGGCCAAGACAGACACTGAGCAAATACTTAGCACGCAGATTATTTATTTAGAATTGCTAGGCAGGAAGAGCCGAGGCTGCTGTGAGGCTCCTGGCACTCGCCCATCTCTGGGAAAGCACCTGCCCCCACCAGGTTCTGCCTGCCCAGGCCCAGGCTCTGGAAGGTGCTCCAGGCCCATAGGAGCTGGTGCTGTGTGTGGCCAAGGTGGCGGCCGAGGCCAGGGATCCATGCTTACAGTGAGCCTGCCAGCCTGGGCCTTTCTGGGATGATGCCCCACCTGCCTGCCAGCCCCTGCCCACTGCAGTCAGGACATGACAACAAGACAAATAATTTCTTGGACCTTTTATCTTGGACACCATTTATTTTCCCTCCGCCCCAGGGCAGGACTGACCTCATGGTAAGGCTCCAGTGTGGCAGCTGCACCGGCATTGGGGGCTGGGCCGGGCCAGGCCAGGCCAGGAAGGGCCACGCTGGGCTCCTGCACCTAAGGCCAGCTGCCTCCCCTCCCTCCTCACTGCCCTATCATTCTTACTGCCTCCCTTTCCTCCCTCTCTCCCTTCCTCCTTTCCTGATCCTGGCCCCTTCCCTGCTTTGTTTCTGTCTGTTTCTCTGTTCCTCCCTCCCTCTGACCACAGCGTCCCTCCTCCCCAGTTTCTCTCTCGCTGGTCTCTCTGGGCCTCTGTCTCCTGGGCCCCCTCCACAGATGCCTGCCTGTGCAGGGCAGACCCAGGTGGTGGTTTTCCCTGGGATCCTCTGTCCAGTTGCTGCCAGGGAATGGGCAGCTGGCTGACCGAGGCGGGAGGAGGTGCCCTCCTGGGGAGTCCCAGGAGCTCTTGCCGGGCCCTCCAGGCTGGGAGAGTACAGGGGGGTCAGACGCTGGTCTGAACCATCTGTCCACACCCTGAGACACGAGGCAGGAGCTGGGGAGGGAGAGGAGCCCGGATGTGACTGACTTCTCACTCCAGAGCCACTTGTCCTCTTGTTTCCTGGGAACTTAGGGCCGTGTCACCTCAGACAAGTTTCTCTTCTGTAGAATACAAGGATCGGACTAGAGTGGTGCTTCTTAAATGCTCCTGTGCATATTAACCACTGAGGGACCCTGCTGAAATGCCCGTGTTGGGGTCTTGGGTCGGGGTGTGGTCCATGTGTGTTTCTAACAAGGACTCGGATATGCTAGCTCATCTTGGCTTCTCTTCCATCTCCACAAATTCTAGGACTTCATAATCCTCTCTCAAAGAACATTTTTACGCACTCCTCCAACTCCTTACCACCCAGGGCAGCAGGGGGCCGCGTGGGCTGCTGCTGCTACATTTAAATGTCCCATTAGAAACGCAGATGAGGCCGAAGGACCCCATCTGTGAGCCCTGGGAGAGGAAGTGAGACAATGGAGCCAATTGAGGCTTCCAATCTAGATGATCAATACAAATATTATTGGGCGGGTGATTTATGTGGCCACACCGGGTGAGAGGACGAGGCTGCTGTGTGGATCTGCATGAGGGCCTGCCTTGCCTGGGGGAGGGGCAGCCCCGGGGGCCCAGGACTCTCCAGTAACCTGCTCCCCCTTCTCAGGGCTGGGGCTGGCTGAAAGGACACACCACCTGAGACTTGCAATGCCCACTGAGCTTCACAGCATTTGAGAACATGCAGGCTCAGAATGGCAGCAAACCCCAAGTAGAAACAGAATACCTACAAACAGCTGGAATCCAGAAGCCTCACAGACATCGGGATTGTTGGCTCTGGGTCTGATGCCAGCATCCTGAGGCCTCACTGCCATGCTGAGTGAGGTGTCACGTGTCTGAACTCTTTGTCCACGAGCTGTACGACAGTGGACGTCCTCTGGTGACAACTGCTTTGATGTCAGTAAGGCTTCTGCACCTTGCCATTCTGCAAGAGGGTCTGTCTTCCTGTTGTCTTTAAAGCTTGCTCTCTGAAAGTCCTGAGGGTGGGCTGTTCTAGGAACGAGGGGCTTTCTTAGCTTTGGCTTGACTCTACAGAAGAAGACATCTGGGCAGTCCTGGAGGCTGAGGTGGTGGGATACTTGGCAGGCAGTGGGCTGAAGCGAAGGGCCGCCTGCCCATCTGGGACTATATGCCCCTTTCCTTCTCATCCTTGGTCCTGGTCACCTCTGTCTTGTGGGTGGGAGCTGACTCAAAAAACAGCACTAGACCAAGAGGCAGGATGCCTGGGTTCCAACTATAGCTCTGACACTGAACCGCCTGCAGAACCTGAAAGTCTCCAGCTCTGGACTGTTTCTTCGTCTGTCAAGAGGGGATGAGGGAGGAGTCCCCACCCTGCTTGCATCCTAAGCTAGGGTGTGAAGGGACGTGGAGGCACTGACTGCTCCTGGCCCTGCTGGATGACAGCTGGATTGTCAGAATGGGGACCCTCCTTGCGGGGAGAGGCAGGGCCCAGCATTAGATAGGTGCTGCAGAGGCAGCTCTGCTTTGATTAGCTTTATGATTGGCAGTGTCTGCCTGATTTTGCTTGCAAGAAGGGTTTCTCCACTTGAGGAAAAAATGATTTTTATAACCCATTTTGCAGCAGACCAACCTTCCAGGACCAGCAGTGCTCTGAGCAGCCCCAGGCAGGCCAGGGAGGGGCAGGAGTGTTAGGCAAGGGGATAGATTTCTTTTTTTTTTTTTTCCCCCCAGTACTGGGGATCCAACTCGGGACCTTGTGCTTGCCAGGCAGGTGGTGGAACCACTGAGCTAAATACCCAGCCCTAGGGAATAGGTTTCAAGGAATCCTGTGGGATTTGAATCTGGACCCCATCACTTTGGTGGGGAAGACCGTGGGCCTCAGTCAGCCTCTCTGATCCTATTTTCTCTCCTACAGAACAGGGGTAACTGAAATGAGAGAATGTCTTTGCTGGAAGATGAGATGATTGTTAAAAACATTAACACTAACTACCAGAACCCATTCCTGTCACGTGGGAGGGGGCAGGGCTGCTGTCATAGGTTCAGGTGGAGGTCCCCTCCTATCCCCCTCACTTCCCACTCCGTTGGAAGAGGGAGCTGCTGTCCTGTCACGGGACCCTGGCATTTCCAGTGCATGTGGCTGAGGTTTCTCGACATAATTCTGAACAGCAGGGTCTCAGAACAGAGGAGGCAGGAGAGCTTTGGGCCCTCCTGTTGAAACATCCAGTCCCCTTTCAGTTAATACCAGTGTCCCTCACTATTCTGCACAAATCACGGAGTGCTAGGGGTGGGCAGGGGAGACCCATTTGATGCTGGCCCTCAAGGGGCTCACTGCCTGCACTCCCATTCCTTACTAGGACCTGACTTTAGGAAGACTCGAAGCCACCAGCTCAGCACATAACCCAAGCCCACCTGCTGCCTTAGTCCCCAGCTTTCAAGCGAGTGAGCTGGTGTGTGTGTGTGTGTGTGTGTGTGTGTGTGTGTGTGTGTGTGTGTGAACATGCATGCATGTATAGCCCCTACCCTGCATGCTTCTTGCAGCTCAGCCTGGAGGAAATTGTGACTCCAGGGCACCAGGAGGTGGCTCCTTGAGCCCCCAGGTGGAGAGAAATGTCCCGGAGTCCCCGTCATCACCCTTGGCCCCATAGGGTCCTCCTGGCAAGAGCCAGCCACTGACCTCGAGACGTTGAGTTCCTTGAGGGCAGTGACTTTTTCTTGCTTTTGGCCATGTCCCCATGTCCAGCACAAGGCAGAGAGTAGGCCCTGCTTGCAGGTTGTGCATCTTGCAGGGCTTTTTGTTGAGCTGGTGACAAGAACGGCTGTCCCTTTTTCCCTTATCCCGGTTCCTGCTGGAGGGCTGTGAGCCAAGAGCAAGGTCGTTTGGGCTGGCGGCTGTGGCTGAGGCTGCAGGGACTGTGTGCCCTCTGAGTCTGCCCCTTCCTCAGTCCCTTCTCCATCCATCCATCCATGGCCTTGAGTGATCAAAGGCACTCATGTTGCTTAACAGAAAACCGAAGACTGTGAATCAGCTAGGGGCCTGGGATGGCTATGCTGCTCCACTTTCGGCTCTACACCTGCTCTGAGCTTACTCTGCTTGTGTCCCTTGAACATGCCGAGCACATCCTGGTCCGAGAGGCTTTGTGTCTGCTGTCCCACCAACTCAGGGGTGCTGTCCTCCCTGCTGTTCTTGGTCTCCCTTACTTCACTCAGGCTTCTTCTGTCCAGTGGTTTCCTTATCAGAGTCCCCACCGCTGCCCTTTCAGGGGCATCCTTTTCTTCCTAGTGTTTACTGCTGTCTGACATCTCATATGTATTGCGTTATCTGGTTCCTGTCTCTGTAAGCATGCAGACTCTCAAGAGCAGGGGCTTTTGTCTGTCTTGTTCACTGCTGTGCCCTCCACGCAAGTAGCCTGCCACAGGGGTGCTCAGT